ATTTCATTGCTTCCACACTATTTATTTGCATATCCAAAAACAGAAATCGTTTAAAGCCATTCATAACGAAATAAATGACCACTTCAACTAATGGATGTTCATTTCTACCCATTACCTTTGTTCTTTTCATTATCACCTACTTCATCTCTTCTATTAATATCATCAAAAACCATCGTCATATGTTGTTCTTTCACCAACTGACCAAATGACGGTCATTCAGCAATCGAAAGCTATCAAACTATTACCCTAAATGGACTCCTCATCCATATAAATGATGTCCTCCGCTCGTATAAGCAGCATAAGGCATCAAGTACTCGAGAGTGTGTGTTCACTTATAAGTATGCAAATGAGATAGCATCGATGATTGAGTAATAACACATTGAATTTACTGAAAGTACTGCTGCTGCAGCAGAAAGAACTAACAGCTTGAAATAATGCTCTTTAAAGCATGAATACAGCGATGAATGCTAGTGATAGTCTCAGCTCGAGCCCTATTGTTCATCCTCTCAAGTGCTTTCCCTATTCGAGTGGACAATGGTCAAGAGTGCCATTACTAAACGTGTGAATAGAAACTACTATTGTGCAAAACGCATATTACAAATCGTTTACACATTAAAATATGTTGAAGAGATGTCGCTGTCCAAGTCAATCTTCCTTCCCATCTCCAAAAAATACATCCCAGAATAAACTTCCCAAATTCACCGAAAACACTCTCAAAATGTTCACCTAACAATGAGATCTTCATCAGAGGATTTCTCACTTTGAAAATCTGCTCAAAATTCAACTAAATATAAACTGCTTCGATNACAACCTCAATTTACATCGTTTTCCTTTAACCTCATGTCAGATTCTCCACTTACATTCTACTAATTACATTAACACCCAAAGATGACTTCACTCATTTGTGTCTTGTTTCATTTGTCAACGCAACAATAATACGCATATATCATATGCACACATAACATGTCTCATCACATAAGTCCCTTGAGATGCCGATGCCATAAATTACATTCAATATCCATCCATTTATATGTGTCTGTTCATACGAGTACTCCATATGTACAACGGAAACATGTGCAGTAAGTTTAGTATGTGTTGAACTTATTTATGTGTATATGCGTTTTTGCATGTGCTGAGCCATTTAGCATAGAGACGAAGCTGGCCAACGGGCTGTCACCAATTCACATTAATCATAGATATGAGCAGATATGAATGAGTGACACTCACCACCGTCCACACGTAAAAGAATCAAGAACAAAACGCATGATGAATTGTTTCCAGCTTTCATACTAACACATACCAACGCATGTTCTTCAGAGGACCACTACAGAGGTGCGGCTGATCACGCGATATGCAATAATTTCACGACAAATAATGGATGGCTGGCTCTGCATAAGGCTTCAGTAAGAGATTTCAATCGCCATCGTCGTGTTCTTCTTCTTATAACTGAACACCACACATTCCAAATTTCGAGAAAGTCTAACAGAGAGTTAAAACAATGAACGCGCTCCTTAGTATACCCCAGAAATTGCTCATTTCTTTGTGTAGATGACAACTGTAATTGGGAAAATTTACAACCCATCTGCTATAAATGGATTATGCAATCTACAGATCAAAATCACAGTATGGGTAGCGGTGAGCAAAGGCACGTCGGCGCTAACTTCACAGAGAAATCCAAGATGCTGGATGTGTGGAAAGAATGAAAGATTGTTCAATCATCAATCGAAACGATCGTATTTCTTCGAGTCAATTATCGACCAACAAAACAACAACACTGCTAATAATAATAGTAACAATAACAAAAATAATAACTGTAGCAATACCAGCAATAATGATAATTACAATAATGTTCTCTGATGACTGCTAATTTTGGTCGTCTTGTTAAATTATGCTCTACTTTTAATGAATGCAGTCACTGCCGACGATCAAAGCGCAATTATTATTTCGTATCATCACCTTTTTTTCATGAATTATTCACTTATTTATGTAAGACGTATGTATGTCTTGTACTTGTTCATTTGTGACAGAAAAGACGAGAAGATAGAATTCAAAGAGGAGTAACAGGTGAGTTGTAAAAATTACGCAAAACAATGAAGTTAAACCGGGGAATAAGACATCGTCTGATGGAGTGTTCATATTTTTGAGCGCATGTACAAGAAAACAGTTCATTTGAATAGGTTCTTTTGTAACAGTAATAAATTCTACGCGAGTATCAGTTAAGAAACTGCTCTGTTTCATTAGACAGCGTGCAATACTTAAACATTATAATGGACACGATAAATGTAACTGTAAGAAGGATTCCTAAATTGCAAATTATTTACTGCTTCGCGTTTTATTTGTGAGGAGAGAAACGGCACTGGGAAATGCTGATGAATGTGATTCGCAAAGAAATTTTTGCTGATAGAACTCATCGAAAAATAATTCATCAAAGGATGCATGAAATCATTGTGGCTTATCAGACGAACGAAAGAAATAACATAGAAGCGCGAACGAAGATGAGAATAAAATGTGTACGGTATCAATGGAAAACAGTATGAAATTCAATGAAAAATGCAATAAAGCATCGTGAAAACAAAAACAATCGCGAAAAATGTTCGCATAAAAAAGCTCACTGACCATGAGGTGGTCCATCGATTTGCACAGAAAAGTATATCTCACTGGCCACTTCAAAATTCAGTGATTTTGTCAACTCCAACGAACCATTCGCATAGACTGTAACGTAGGACTTCGTGATCGGTGCCAATGTAACTCGTTCACCACGAGCTAGCGGAATACGCTGAAAGCGAAGTTTTATTAGATTTCAAAAAATGCGGAGTCGAAAGAAAGTGTCGACAAGTGATATCGTGTACGAAGGGGTATCACACATCACACGCTCATTGTTGGTAATCATAAAATCAACTGATCAATCTTCAAAATTCAGAATGTCACGGAAAGTGTGAAGTTTGATAAGATGAGATTGTAAAGATGAGATATGAAATGGAATAATCAAACAATATAAAACGAAACGAACCTTTTGCAGCAAACCAAGTGGATGATCTTCACGCAATTCAAGAATAACATCATTACCCAAGTCACGACGTCGTCTCGTCGAACGATACTGATTCCCAACATCAGAAACGCCAACTTGTTGTCGTGTATTCTTCTTTGGGATTCGTCGATCACTCACAGTTGAATTACCTTCGACAATGATTTTGACACTTGTTCTTGCCTCCTGAAAATAAATCCTCTGAATAAAAAAAATATTGCTCATTATATTCTTTCTCTCAGCTAGGTTCACTCCACCAAATCAAAAGGATATTGGAAGAAATAGTGAATAAACAACTCGATCGTTATTTGAGTTGAACCCAATTGTAAGTTCTAATTGCTAATAAATGATCTATACCAGTTCATTCAAGCCAACAATATCAGTCTAAACCACTGTTAAAAGAAATTTTTCGAAGTCATCAGTCAGATTCAATGTCTAGTTTTCTGATCCAAATCGCTCCCGATTCAAACTGTTACGAATGATCAGCTAAATCCAGCTAAAAGATTCTCTCATTCACCTGTCCGAGATAATCCGATGCCACAACGTCGAAGGTGTACCGACCATTCGGCACTCCATTTCTGCTGAACACATCTCCAGAAAACGGTGTCACATCGAACGGCACCGTTTCTGGCTCCACACGGTATACAACTGCACCTTTGGATGCCCTGTAAAAGTTCTTTTCTCTTTTTTTTTAAATTCCAATCATTTTCATACACCAAAAAGGTTCATTTTCCTCAGTCAGCTTCTCTGTCAGACTTATCGATGCAAATTCTCTGCAAAATCTCCCTAACAAATTGATCAACTACATACGAAAATTGTCTTTATTGTGACTAACTTCCTTGCTTCGCTTTCAAAACATTTGTGTCTTAATCCGTTGCTTTCACATCGAATTGACGAGTCACTTTCAACAGATGTTTTTGCGATTTGAATTCACTTTCATTACACTTCAATGCAATCTTGCAGGCAGTCACTCGTGAAAAAGTAAGTGTTTATTCGTGCAAATTAACTTTGCTAGTGCCACCCGCCCTCACCGTTACCCTCACTCAGTCTCATTCTAGTTCGCTTGCCTCTTTCACATGCGATAATTCAATCGTCGTTGACTGCAACACTAGTAATCAACAAATTGTGAACAGCACTAAAATGTGACTGAATTTTATTGCAGACAGAATATATTAACGAATCATTGAATATTCCTATAAATTTTGGCACGCTACTCAATAAATTGATTGAAATTTCGCTCGTGCAACATTTGTTCTCAGCTATACGAGTTAATAAGCCCAGCTGGATGAGCCAATTCGATCTTATCGCAATAGTGCTGATCAGTTATAACTCTTCTAGATCAAAACATCAAAACCCTGCATATCTAACTTCAATCAGATTCTCGAACTATTTTTTCCTGCTTCATTTCAGGTAACCACTTGTAGCACATAATCTTTTGAAAGCAATGACATATAATGACTCAAATTTTATCCTATTGATCATCAATTTCCATTTTTTTTCTATGCAATTGTTCTATCAAAACAACCATGCAATGCACACCTTCTTCAATCTCAATGACT